AAGAAAAAAAAAATTTAAAAAAAAAAAAAAAAAAAAAAGGAAAAATCTTGCTTAGAGGCTTGGGAAAGCTATTAACCCAATTTTGTGAGTCTGCAGCAGCTATAGGGACTTTTTCCTTACTAAAGGATTGAGTCAAACTTTCAAATAACCATGGCAACCACACATGAATACATACTTTAGTGTTAGTATGTAATCACCAAGAGAAGTATTAAAGGCTCCTCCTTTCCACCCAAACCAAAGTCCTGCAGCTGCCCTAACACCTGCAGCTTGCTCCGGACCCCAGCCAGGTTAGCTCATGGCAGCCCCCCAAAACAAGGGGCTGGCAGCCAGACTGCCCACTCCAGACGCACGTCCCCAGCTGCTCCTTGACTGATCACAGAGCAAATCAGAAATGGGGACTACTAGTTTTCCCTGTATCCCACTTGCTCATGGCATCTTTCACCCTGAATACTGAGAGGGTGTGAGCTGCGAGCCAAAAGGCTCCCATGGTACAATGTATGTGATGAACACATGCACTGGGATCTGACTGGGAGGTATGACAAATCAGCATTCCTGTAGCCCAAAACCTCCCCCATTTCACTCATCACTGCCAGGTCTGCCCCAGGAACCTGCTCCTGCTCCCATGCCACCGGCACTGCTCGCTCCTCCCTCCATGGCACCAGGCTGAAACTCCCATGGAAGGTGTCTGCCCTCCACTAAAATTAGCACCGCCAGCCCTCCACCCCCCACCAGCCCTCACCTCATTTACTGCCAGGAGGTCCTGAGCGGATCATGGAAAATGAAGGTGCGAGGCATACCTGGCCAACAGGTCTGACATTTCAGAAGCACAGGTTAAAGGATTAAAATGCGTTCTTGAGCATTGAGAGAAGACAATCTGGTTTGCTTTACACAATGTAATCCCACGGCACTTTCTTTGTTATTACTTGAATGATAGTAACGGCACTTACAAACCTCAGGAGACATCAGACAGGCATGTGAAAACCTTGTCAAAAACATGTCCACCCACCAGCAGTTTTCTATACAGATCAGTAAGGCACTGAGAACATGGAAACAAAGTTAGTTACATGGTGAAGCAAAAAGAGTGGCAGAGACTAGACCAGAAACTGAACCTCCTGAGTCTGGGTTGTTTCCTGAATCTTGGGAAATACCCTACTCATTGGATTAAATGAATTTTAATAAATGGTTCTGTGTATAAACAGACTTACCTTTAGGTAGCATATAGGTTATAACTAACGTAGAGTACATCCATAAGATACTTTTTATGCTTAGCAACATCTTGACCTACAAATAAAGAACAATGGAGTAAGTGGTTAGTATGGCATTGTGTCTTCATCAAGTGTTGTCACTCAGTACATCAATATTTGTGATTGGTATTAGAAGTGGTCATATACTTAAAAAAGATGTTCAGCAGGACAGTGAGTAACTCTTAATATATTGATCTTCTGCCACTTTATTCACTGTTTTAAATGTATTCCTATACAGTGGTAGCAGTACATGAGTATAATCTGAGGAATTTTTCCTGGTGTGGTATCTTCAGACCCAAGTTCTGGGTAGTTTTACATCCATAACACAACTACCTGTCATTCAGCAACAGCTAACAGCATGGTTCAGGTCGGAAGGGGCTCCTATGACAAGCTGCTCATGAATTTCGATGGTGAGTCAACATCCACATATGATCCTTCCCATCTGCAAGTAGGTTGCCAGGTGACTTCTTGTTTTCAAGATTTCTCTATATATCTTATGGTGGAAATTTGTCATAATGACAATATGTCCCTATCGAATACAGATTAATGAGTTTCAGATTATTGAGTTAAGAGTGATACTGAGACATGTCAGCTCCCTCTGGGTTTGCTTCTCACTTCCTTTACAGACTCCACCTCCTAAGAGCTGAAAAGTTCTCCACAGATATGTGCATAACAAAACATTGCGTTTATAATCGTTTGTCTTCATTTTTGTTTCAGTTCTTGTAACTAAGAATTGTAACATGTTGAATCTGTAAATATCATGAAAATTTCAGAAGTACACTAACAAAAGCATTACAAGTCCCATAAATGTCAACTACCACAAAGGGTTTATAAGTAGTCCCTCTTCCATGTAGTTACACATATGTATTATCTGGCCAACATAAGAAATAACTTTCAGCAGTAGTTTGTCAAACACTGCTGTTGAAAAATTTTTATCACAAAATCTCGAGTTTCCTGATACTGCTGTCAAAATATGCTACTTGGTTCTTGGTTACTGGGGTGAGTAACCTGAACTGATCGTTTTTTCCTGTCTGAGAGAGATTACAGTTGAACTGCTTTAAGGAACAGTGAAACAGAGATTTAATAGGCGTGCATCTGTGTTATAATTATGGAACTTGTGTTGCACATATGTATTTTAGCATTTTTTACATTAGCATTTTAGTTCTCTAGTACTTACATATACTGCTTTAGGGTTAAAACATTAACTAGTACATTTAGAAACCTCCACAAGCTATACTGAATATGATAGCAAGCCACAGAGAGAAAGCTCCTGGTGACGTGTTCAACTTCAGGGAAGTTTTCTCCACAGCTTACAGCTGCAGCCCAAACTTCACATGAGTCTGTGTGAATTGGCATCTATCCTGTAACGGCTGAGCAGTTCAGAAAGGATGCAAAACATCTCAAACCAAGCCTTTCCAATTAAGCAATCTCTAACATAACAGCATCATGTTAAAAATTCCCACCCAAAAGGGCTTAAAACCCAAGAGCTTTTCATTCCCTATACGTGGATGGCCAGAGCTGGATGGTTGCACTGGGAAACATATGCTGCAACCTATTCCCAGGGCGTGGAGGAAAGAATACAGCTGCTTTCCGTAGAGCAGGCTGCATGCTGCCAAAGACGCCCCATATCTGCTTTAGCCGTTCAGTAGAGCTCAGTGTATAATGTGATATCACTTATTTTGCAATATTAACTTCACGGAATTTGCACTTTTTATGACTGAGTCCCAAACAAGGATTGGCACTTTTTTTGACTTAATTCAGTTTGAGCCCTACCTGCCATAAAACTTTTTCTGAAGGCTCTAACACATATCCCCAACACCATCCAGCCAGAGTTTTATCTCTCTTACACAAGAAAGCTCTACATGGAGAAAACAAAAGTGACTATTTAATGCCTAACTTTAAAAATCTATACTGGTACACTATGTAAGCCCTAGTAATTCCCTGTAGAAGGCTGTTACAAGTGAGGAGGTTGCCCAAGACAAGAGCTGCAGACATGGAAGTCCTTTTAATGCAATGCACCATCCTGGAAATACAGTCACGTGTCTGTTTAAACGCTTATATGATCCTCATTATTACACAACATTTAAAAAAATGAGAGGTCTTGCCGAGCCTACAGATGTGCACAGACTAGAAAGCCCTTCAAGCAACCCTTGTATCCTGAAACAGCTGGAAGCCTTGAGCACCAAAACCACTGCAGGCTAGTTCTTCAGTAATACAAGGACTATGAAAGCACAAAAAGATCACCAACAGACTTCTCTACCTTCAAAAGTGATGAATGCCAGACAAGCTTGCAAGATAGCATGAGAACTCTGGTGCCCGTGAAAGCAGAGTGTGTCCAGACCTTCATAAGAGATGTTTTGTCCTCATGCGTTCCCCATGCATCACACACTGGCTACATCAACAGCTAAACAAAAATTTAGAACAAACTGTTCACAACTTTATGTTTCCATGTTGACCCATACACTTTATCTCCTCCAGAAGACAACCTTGGTTTTCAGGACCAGAAACAAGGAAATCAAAGAAATTTGCTGACAAAAAGAACAAAGGATTTTTTTTTATTTTTTTTTTTTTCCTGGAAGATGAGCAGGCTGCACCTAAACAGGGCTGGTTGTGTGTTGCAGCTACCACCTGCTCCACCACACCGACCCTGACCAGGAGCACCTGCGTGCTTGGCACATGCCAATGGGTGGCCCGTTGCCCTCAAAAGCTCACTGCTCCTCCTGTCATGACAAGAGGTGATGTAACTGCTTCCACATTTGGTAAGAGAAGGAAGCTGGTTGAGAGCTCTGAACACGAGCTTCTGACCTACACTACAAGTCCAGAGTACAGGTTGGACCTCATCTTCCCCTTCCTCTCCACTTAGCACACAAGCACAGAGCACTGGTCCTCCGACCTCATGTGGGCCACTGCATTACAAATGCAATTTGAGGAATCTTGTTTAAAAAAACTTCACGTCTTCAGCTTCCAGTCACTAAACACAATATACACACCCACAATGAAATATGAAAACAGAAAGACAACTGTGTAAGGATAATTTTCAAGCTGTCTTGTGACTGATGAACTCAACCATCAGTACAGAAGGGAGCATTCATGGCTGTGATGTCTACTTAGCTTTTTACTGAGTAGGGCAGGAATTACACCTGCTACAACAAGAGCTTGGATAACTTAGAAAAATTTCACTGTTTGAGCATGGAACCTAATATGAGATGCCTGCCAAAAATCCCCACACGACTCTCAGAAAATCCTCTCTCAACCTTTTGTTTTTCTCAGTCTACCCTGAGGTGCTTACTCAAGCAATTAAAAATGTTGGGGGAAGAGTCTCATTTTCAGCCCTCAGGCTCGCAAGCATGATTCCCATGCCACTCTCCATGCACGAGGGTTTTCACACTCTGGTCTTTGGTGGGCTCCCATAAACACTCCTGGGTTACCCAGTGCTGCTGCACTACAGCTGCCAGGATTAAATGTGTAATTACCCCTCCCACCCTCTTCAAATGACAGCGTGCAGATCATAACTGCAGTACCTTGCTCAGCTCCCCAGGACAGCCTAGCTTAGGGGAAAGCCCAGCTCTGCAAAGCTGGCACCAGCAATCCTCCTCAAGAGCCACAGGCAAGGCAGAGGCTGGTGCCTATACCTAGCACCCCAATTCCCCGTCAGTGCTGCCCACATTTCCAGGCCACCACCATCAGATATGACTGCTCCTGCCTCCTCCCTTTTTGCTGGTAGCAGACCATGCTCCTTTGTAGCCTCCTGAGCAAAATCCCATCTCTAAAACCAGTTTGTATTTCCTATTCCTGCACTCTTCAGTTTATAAAGGCCTCTGCTGGCTGGCTGTTGTACTGCCCCTATGTCCACTGTAATTTGCCAGAATCCTTCTAAACATACCTTTTTCCGCAAGCTTTTTTCTGTCTCCCCCTCGGTATCACTACACCTAGAGTATGAGAAAGCCATAATACTGTGGACACAGTAAAGAAAATCCTGACAACTCAAGACTGCAAGACTTGAGTAAGTGTTTAATTTCCACCTTCTGTTAAAAAAGTACCTCACTTAATGTGACCAAACTTGGGTTGCCTGCTGGCTAGTTACCAAGTGGACAGATCCATTTTATTAGGAGCTACTACAGGCAGACTGATCTACACTGGTAATTTGCACTACATTTTTAGACTGGATGCCATCCTGAGCGCAGAATATTTTAAACCAAAAGATGCCAAGTCCTTGACAAACTCCACATCTTTAAAAAACAGCAGCAGAGGTTCTCTGTGGGGAGCGAGCAGGGCTCCTATTTTTGCAGGCACTGCTACCTTCCCTTACCACAGCAGAAACTCATAGGAGCAGTAAGTTCTGATCAAATTCCAGCTCGTGTTTAGTTTACAGTGTAAGCTTGATCTCACACCAATGCTATTTTAATTTAACCAGATGGGAGAACATCATGTCTCTCTGTTTTAAACTTCAGGTTGAGAAAGACACTGAATGTCCTGGTGTGGAACAGACTGAAATCTACCATCCAAAAAGCATTCCAAATTTCTCTGAAGTTGGGACAATGGGAAATTAGCTACTTTCATAGAGGTGACAGTCTTTAAGGGTTTGCAGCTTGTCAGGTAACACTGAGATTGATTCAGCACATGCTCTACAGCTGTACTGTGAAAGCTCTACACATTGCTTAAGCATGTAAAAAGCAGCTTCTGCCCATTGACCCTTTCTGCCTCTACAGTGAAAGTCAGGTTCAGATTTAAAAAAAAAAAAAAAAAAAAAAAAAAAAAAAAAAAAAAAAAGGAGGGGAACCCTAATGGAACCTGGCACTAGAGAAGTGAATTGAGGCTGCTGCTCCTACTAATGGGTGAAACAGTAAATTGCACAGCTTTCCAGTGAAACCCCAGCAAGCTAGAAACGACCAATCCCAGACGTAGCACACCTCTTGCTACCCTCTAAGCTCTGCCCGAAGCCTTCACAGCTGCTGCCCTTTCTCAAAGGCGCGCACTCTGCACTTTCTTTTGCTTTTGCAGTCCTTTGATCCTTTTATGCCATCTGACTATTAATTGCTGACATGTATCAACCTCACCGTTAAGCGCTGCCTAACTAACTTTGCCCGTTTCACCACGTCTCTGTCAGGGGATTAATTATCCCCCTGTGCTGCCACTCGGCAGACTTGGCCTGCACCTGGTTTATCACTGCTGTCCGCTCAGCCCATTATCACTTGCAAGGGTCCTCCTACGGCTTCCGAGAAGGTCCTAGGGACACCTGCTCATCCCTTCCTCACCACCTCCAGCACCAGCGGCTGCAGGGGAAACCCCTCCCGCGCCGGACCCGCAGCAGGCAAGCGGCGCTGCCCCGCAGCCCCCAGCACAGGCAGGGGCGCAGACGGGAAAAGTGACCAGAGCACAGCGTGTTCTGGCGCTCCTCGCTCTGGCTGCTGCCGGAGGACATCGCTCCCGGGCCTGCGCTAATTTGTGCCAGAAGTGGCTCTGGGCTCTCAGGCGGCCCCACGGAGACGCAGCGGAAAATTGTCGGAGGCAGCGCACGGAGCGGGGTCCCAGCGCTCGGGCTCCCGTGGAGCCGCGCACCCCGCGCCGCCAGCACCACCCCAGCCGCAGGCTCGGCCTTCGCCCCCGCCAGCCT